TCTGCAAGCCCGTGGAACTCAATTCGTGGATTGGCCATGGATATCACCGCCGCTCTCGTGAGATAACGAATCCTCCAGGGTCTGAAGTTCCCTGGGCACATTTAATTAACGCCACCACCGTAATGAGTACGACCAGTCAGCCAATCAGTCAATAGTACAACCCCCTGGAATAAAAAGTCCGGACCGCAGAGGTCGGGGAATAAGCCTTGATGTTCGGCTCCCGTTAGGCCACGGGGCCCCGGTACAATGTTGCAGGGGCCGCCATGGTTAAATTTCCGGTCCATCCTCACCCCCTCTAATATTATAATCGCCAAATGGGGAGACGACCAGAAATCCGCATTCCGCCTAATGCTTCCTCAAAAAAAATTCCGGACGCTTTTCAGGCGACCGGAAATTCTCAGTGGCGACCAGAAATTGGCGATTTCGCTTGGGACTTCCTCGCAAATAAATTTCCGGCCCCAGTTATGTTGCTTGGAAGTTGCGATTGTGCTTGGTACTTCTTGCCAGTCATGTTTACCTCTCGGGGAGCGACGATGCAAGGGGGTGCCGATCCGGACTTTCAAATCCAGGGGTGGTAGTTTACCTGGCGAAGTTCCAAAAGGCGCAAGCCACGACACTCTCGGAATTCCTGGGAATTTCCTGGCACGTGACCCGTGTGGGCCTTCGGGACGGTCCTCTCGCCCAGGAGGGCCCCAAAACAGGCCAAGAAAGCCCAAGAGAGCCCGCCAGACAGTCCAAGAGAACCCGATCTCGCCGAAAGATCACTCCAAGACGCCCAAGATGGCCTCCAGACGGCCCAAGACGCCTCCAAGACGCCCCATCATTGAATTTCCTGAGGTTTCTAACAGATGTTCACGTTTCTGCCTTTTCGGCTTCCCGGCTCTCCAAGACGGCCCAAGAAGCCTCAAAGATCGCCCCAATACGGCCTCAGAGGCCGCCAAGAGGGCGCCGAGGCGGCACAAGAGGCCCCCAAGACTGCGCAAGAGGCCTCCAAGACGGCCCAAGAGGGAGGGCCCCGAGAACGCCCTAAGAGGCCCCCAGGAGGGCCCAAGAGGCCTTCAACAATCCCCCAAGAGGCCCCAAGAAGCAGGCCTTAAACAACTGCCCAGAAAGGCATCCCAGAGAGCCCTCGGAAGAGACCCCAAGAAGCATCCACGAGGCCGTTGACCCTCAACACACGCGTGGTGGCAGGATGGGCCGAAAGCCATCAGATAAATTCGCGCTAAGTCCGAAATCATCCAGTGTTGGATCCCCTCACGGGTCACGGAACGGGTGACAGTCATAATAGCAAGGGGGTTCATAGAACTGGGTTCGCAACCCGCTGCACAAGACGGTGGTGCGCTTCCTTCAATGCTTGAGGGCCCCCTGAAGAGGTAGCCCCAGAGCGAAGGAGGTACTCTGACGAGAGAGACCCCTCAGAGCTGCCATAGCAGTACAACTCCTACTGCCCCCGTGCCCCGTGTCGACGAGCCTGACGCGTGCCTCTCAAGGGGGTGGGCACTCAGCGAGAGCTTCAAGTCCGACCCGATGTGTCGCGCTCGAGCCCGCGACTCCCCACCTGCCCAGCGACGGGATGGACCTGGTGCTGGTCCTCAGCAGAGCATGCGCGGAGCCAGTCGATATTCTCGCCATCGGCAGTCTCGAATCCTGGGGCGTTCAAGCCCTCGCCCGATGAGGAGGAGGAGGAGGAGCAGGAGGAGGAGGAGGAGAAGGAGGAGAGGAGCAGGAGGAAAACGAGGAGGAGGAGGAGGAGGAGGAGGAGGAGGAGGAGGAGGAGGAGGAGGAGGAGGAGAGAGGAGGAGGAGAGAGGAGGAGTGGCCGACGCGCCCCCCCCCCCTGTACCCGCCCCCTCCCTGTGGCTGCCCCTGAGCAGAGCGGGCGCGCAGGCGCCCCGAACCCCCCCCCCCCCGGGAGGCGCCCCTCCGAGGGAGGCCTCGCGCCTGGCCGCCCCGCGCAGGGACACTGAGGGGGGCCGACAAGCCCTGGAGAGGCGGGGGCCGACGGCCGAGCACCGGCCTCTCCGGAGGCCTCCCAGCTGGGCCTCTCCGGAGGCCTCAGGAGGAGGCCTCCCAGGAGGAGGAGGAGGAGGAGGAGGAGGAGGAGGAAGAGGAGGAGGAGGAGGAGGAGGCACCTTCCATCTCGCCTTCCGGTCCGGCACCCGTGCACGCCGTGGGGAGGGGAGCCGCACAGAGGCCGACGGCGTGCCGAGAAACCCTCGGGGGGCCGTCCCAATGTGGAGCCAGGCTGCCCCCCCGGCCCTCGGCAGCAAAAGATGAGGAGACGACGACGACGACGACGACGACGACGACGACGACGGCGACGGCGACGGCGACGGCGACGGCGACGGCGACGAGGACGAGGACGAGGACGAGGACGACGGCGGCGGCGGCGGCGACGACGACGACCACGAGGAGAACCGAAGCGGCGCGTGGAGAGCTGGAAGATTAGAAAACAGGCTGCGGATGATCGGCCCAAGTGAAGCCAAGCCGTGCCTTTCCATCTGGTAGTTTCTGTACGATAGATCTGTGGACATCCTGCGCAGCATAATGGAAACATGCAGCACATCACACTGTACACAAGTCTCCACGAGTGCTATCCATTGGCGTCGCTGCTGCAAGCTCCCGCCGCTTGAACTTATCAGCCACCCTGGGTATCTGCAAGACCTGCACCCAGAGTGTCGCTCACCCCCCACACATGATGTGCAACCACTTGTGGCTCAGACCGCTGTCTCCTACTACTGCGAATGTGTAACCGTCGATGCCCAACTGTGCAGTGGCACTAGCCGTGCCCTTACCATGGACAACGAAACAAATGGCATTGCTGCTGCTGTGAAGTACCTCTCCGTGCCTGACATCAGGATTGCCGCAAACCATCTATATATTATTCACAGATGTATGTATAAATTTCCAAGCTCAATGAGCCGTTACTGCCTACAGATCTGCCAGTCAGATCTTATTTTGCAGCATGATTGGGGAAAATGGTGCAGGCAAATGCAAATCGGACCCACACCAGCGCGACGCCAATTATCTGGCTACGTAGGCGATGGAAGCGACGCCATGACGCTCCACCACCACCCCTTCCAGACTCTTAGCACCATCGCGTGTGGCTTCGTTTGGACGCAAGGTCTTCTGAATCTCCTCCTGACTTCATGGCGTCGTTCAATTCACGCGTTCTCGCCTTTTCCGCTTCCCGACGCTCTACGACAGGCCACGAGACCCACCAAATCGCCCCAAGACGGCCCCAAAGGCTTCCAAGAAAACCCCACTACGGCCTCCAAGGCCACCAAAAGAGCCAAAGAGGCCTCCAAATGAGGCCACGATCCTCTTAGGGGTGTGTCGACATGGGTGCGGAGCCGCCATCCGAACGCAGACACCGGGACCTTCGGTGGAACTCCCTATAGGGCCACGAAAGGTGGGAGGGGTGCGCCGAAAGTAACGCGATGCCGCCATGCGAGCGCAGCCGCTCGGGCCTTCGATGGAGCTCCGTATGGGGCCAAGATCATCGGGAGGGGCGTGCCGAAATGGGCGCGGTGTTGCCGTCTTCGGTGGAGCTCCCTATGGGGCCACGATCCTCGTGAGGGGTGCCAAAATGGGCACGGTGCCGCAATGCGAACGCGGACGCTGTGGCATTCGGTGGAGCTCCCTATGGGTCCACGGTTCTCATGAATGGTGTGTGGCCAATGGTTATCTCTGGCCTCGAGTATGTTCAACAACTCTGGTTCGTCAGTGCCTTCCGAAAGACGGCCAGGACGGATCGGAAACAGGTGCTGCGAACCAGGGATTGGTGGGAGGCCGAAGCGGGGCTTCAGAAGTGCATCGATAAGTATAGACAAGCGTGTGATGAGCCAGCGTTGCCGCTGAGCCTCACTACGCGTCCTGTCTGTGATCATTGTGCCAGCGTGGTGTCAGAACTAGAGCCCACGTGTAGCGCCACGGCAAACATTGACCTGAAGCTGCTATCCCACTTAATGGGATTGCTAACCTAGAGCGCAAAATACGTTGCAACCCATTCCTTGAGGCGGCGTTGCCGCTGAGCCTCGGGATCTTGGGACAGATGGCGGTGCAGAGTGCGAAATCTGTGAATTGTATTCCATTCCAGGCGGAGACTTTGCGTAAAACTGCCAAGCCCAGCGCGCGCAGAAAAAAAGGTGTCCACCACGGGGCCCCTTCACTCTTCACATTCTCCAGCTCACACTCAACATGGAATCTGTGCAAAACGGCGAACGAATCAAATACTGAACTACATGTTCAACATTGTGGTAATGGTGGATCGCCCGGGGAAGTTCGGGCAGTGAAACTGGAACGCGACGTCGGGGGGCCGACCGACGCATGCTGACCCCACCCAAGACCACCAGAAAAAACGACCACCTTATGTTGTGGCGCGGTGGGGCCCTCACCAAACGAGGATGGCCACCGAACGCGCCAAAGAGCGATGAGCACGATGCAATGCGCATGAAAGTTGGCGTTGCGCTGGCGCACGCGCGCGTGCAATCGCGCATGCGTTGCACTACGATGCGTGCGCACGGGATGGGAGCGCGCGCGAAATTACACGCCACCTCGCCGAACATCGCCAAGCTCAAACGAAGGCGGCTCGCGCCGCGCCCATCGGCGACCACTACAAACGCGCACGCAACGCAGAACTATTTACTCGAAATGGCCGTCTCTGAGAGCTCTGCCCGCGAGGGCCCCAGCGCCGCGTATGATGACGGACGGGGGAAGCGCCGAGCATCGTGCTCCTCGAGATAACGGCTCACAATTATGAGGCGCCTCCAGCGGCGGAGTTCACTGGCGCTGCTCGGGCTGCGCAGCCGGGGCGGCCAGTTTGCCAGGGAGGCGACGTGCCCGCAGACGCACAGCATGGTCGCCCTTGTAACACTTACCGAGAGGCCAGAAGCGGCAGAGCGGCGCATCGGCGCCCGCCGCCGTCGGCACGACGTCCTGCTCAATGTCGGCTGGCGGGGCGCCTGTCTGCGGAGGGTTCGCCGCTGGCCTGGGTTCTGCCTTCGCCGTAATTAAGCTTCGCCTTCGCCTCGGCCTTGTCGGCGCCCGTCAAGTGCAACCCGTGCCCGAGCTCGCAGCCGTCGCCGCGCTTGCAGGAGCCGCGCAGCCAGAGCGGGCAAACGACATTGCCGGCTGCCGCGCGCGCCGGCGGCAGGAGCTTCTGGCGCTGGCGGCGCCTCCGGCGTCGAGGCAAGAGCGGACCTGCGCGAGGCTGGCCATCGTTTGCTCCCTCTGGCGCTTCGAGATCTCGCGCCGGGCGGCCCCGTGTAGCCAGGCGCTGGCGCGCCAGTCTCGGACCCCTCGTCGTCGCGCGCCGCGAACGCCGGCTGCGACGCCGCGGCCTTGCGAAGCTGGGCCCCCAGCAGCGCCGCGAGCAGGTCCTCCTCCGAAGCTCGAGCTAAAGCCATGGGCGCATGGCCCCACGGCGCCAAGAAACCCTTCCAGGTCGCCGCGGAACTCCGCGCCCGCGAGGGCAGCCAGGCCCACTGACGCGGCCTGTCCTCGGCCCAGCGCGAACCCGCTGCACGGCGCGCGCAGCAGGGCGCGCCGTCCGGACAAAGGAAGTCCTTGCCGCGACTGCTCCGCTTGATGCATCTGCAGCAGCTCCCTCTGCAGGGGCCCCGACGCTTTGGCCAGTTCCCCTCTGGCCAATGCAATGCCCAGATCGCCCCATATTTTTGGGCGTCGGGCCAGCCGCCCCAGCCCCTGGACAGAGGCTGGGCTCTCTGCGACCTGGAATTGGGCGAGGGCACGCCGCTTGGAGCGCTTGCTCGCGGCGCAGGCCCTCGCGCGCGTCGAGCGGGGCCGCGAGCGAAAGCCGCTGGCCCGGGGCAGGGGCTCGAGCACGACCGACGCGGCCGCGCCCCTCCTCCGCCCGAGCCCCCGCTCGCGCTGGAATCCGCGCGAGGGTTCTCGAGCGCGGCCCTGCCGTGCTGAGGGCCAGCCTGGCCCGCGGCGGAGGCGACAGGCGCCAGCGCGGCAGCTGCTGCAGCCGAGCGCGGCCCCCTCGCTGCCAGGCCCGGCGGGGTCTTCGGATCCGCCGCGCACGTCGATGGTCTCGGCGAAACCGCCGCGCGCGGCGCGAGACCCGGCGGGGCGCTCGCAGCTGGAACGGCGTTGGCGCGATCTGCTTTCTCTACGATCATTCCCATGCTGACTTCAGCTCCGCGCCCCGGAAGCCAGTGACCGACGGGGCCAAGCTCCGCGCCCTGGCAGCCAGTAGCGGGCTGGGCTCAGCGCGCTGCAGCGCGCTGAGCCCCATGGGCGGCGCAGGGGGCGCCGTCACATGGGGCGGCGGAAGGCAATCTCATCTGCCGCGGCCGCGGGCGCTGGGGCGCCGAGGTCAAAGGCTGCCGGCGCGGCCGGCCCGCCGGCGTCAGCGGCAACAGCGCCGCCGATGGGGGGCAGCAGCAGCAGGCTTGGCCTGCTGCTTGTTCTGGTGGAAGCCCTCATAAGCCCTCCACCATGCCCTTCCAGGTCTCGACCTCTTGCACGGGCAAATCGTTCCTAGCCATGAGGCACTCCGCAGTCTGGCTACGGTCGACCTCCATGGCCTCAATGCTCCAGTCGGCATCCTCGGCCCTGCGGGCTTTCGCTGCGCGCCGCTCGGCCGCGCGCGACCCAGCCTCCTTCGTGCGAGATTGTAGAACTTCCAGCTGCGCCTCCAGCTGGTCCACCAGCTGGTGCGCCTTGGCCTCAGCCTGCCTCAGCTGCAGCTTCAGCCTGTTGATTTCCGAGGCCGCCGCGACACGTGTGGCTTCCATCGCGGCTGCGAGGACTCGGCCGCTCTCCTCGGCTTGCCGCTCCGCGGCATGTGCGGCAGCGCTCCGCGCAACCGCCTGCCGAGCCTCCTTCGCAGCCGCCCGAAGCTCCGCCCCCTGCTGGGCAAGGTGCGCCAAAGGCCCATATGGGCTGCCCGCGGCGCGCGCCGTCGCTGGGCGTCGGCTTCCTCGCACGCGCGGCTCTCAACCAGAAGCGCCGCTTGCATCCTTTGCCTGTCAGCATCGACCAGCGCCGCCTGCACCTGGGCGCGACCCTGTTCAAGCTGCTCCGCAACCCCGCGTTGCACTCCAGCGGCAGCCTGCTCCAACTGCTCCTACAGCTGTCCGCGCATGGTCGCCACGGCCTCTTCGGAACTCAGGTTGAGGGCCGCGCTCCGCGCGGCAAGCGCATCCCTGTGCTCATCGACGAGCTGGCGCTCGCGCACCTCGAATCGCCACTCGAGATCACGGCGCATGATCTCCACGCGCTCCTCCAGCACGACCTGGTTGCCGACGATGTGCGAGAGCTCGCGTGCCAACGCGTCGCCCCGCATCGAACTGATGGCGCTGGCATCGACACTGTCGGCGGCAAAGATCGCCGACTTGGATCGGTCCGAAGCGCTCCTTCGCTCATCGGCGGGGCGCCCTGACAGCGATGGCTGCCGGCGACTGCGGCCCTTTGCCAGCGCACGCGCAAGGGAAACCGGCATGGGGACATCGAGATCGGCAACTGCCGGCGATGCAAAGGTGACAACGGCTCCACTGTCCCCATTGGTGATGGGGGCGGCTGGCACCTCAGGCGCAACAGCAGCAGCAGCAGCCGGGTGGCGGCAGCCCTGGCGGTCGCCACCACCTGTTGATCAAGTAGCAGTAGATGCCCAGCCATCTTGGTCAGAATCTTCGGCTGATGATAAATTCAATTTGCTGGTTATCTATGGTTCTAAACATGTCCAACCAATCCGGTTCCTCAGTGCCTTCCGAAAGACGGACATATAGGTAGAGCACCCCTGTTGGACGAATCGGAAAAGTGCTGTAAACGAGGAATTTGGTGGGATGCCGAGGCGGGGCTTCAAAAATGAATCGATACATATGGACAAACGTGTGATGAGCAGGCGTTACCGCTAAGGCTCACTACGCGTCCTGTCCGTGATCATTTTTCCAGCGCGGTGCCACAACTTGAGCCAAAATGCAGAGTAACGGCGAAAGTTGGGCTGAAACTGAGAATGTAACATATATTGCAACCCATCCTTGAAGGCGGCGTTGCGGCTGAGCCTCCAGGGATCTTGAGACAGATGGCGGTGCAGAGTGCGAAATATGTGAATTGTACTCAGACTTTGCCTAAACGTGTCTACCGCAGCGTGTGCATAAAAGTGTCCACCCCGGGTGCCCTTTACTGCTCACATTCTCCAGCTCACGCTCAACATGCAGGAACATTTTTGCAAAACGGCGTGTGAGTTAAATGCTGAATCAAATGTTGAAATTTGAGGCGATGGCGGATAGCCCAGGGAAATTCGGGCAGTTATTCAGTGAAGCTGAAACGCAACGTCGGGGGGCCGACCGATGCATGCTGACCGCACCCAGTACCCCCCGAAAAAAAAGGCCACACTTTGTTGTGGCGTGCTGGGGCTCTCACCTAACGGGGATGGCCACCGAACGCGCCAAAGAGCGATTCATAAATCCTCTGGTGTGCTACCCATGCGACTCTGATGCATAACATAATTCGTGTGAGGTTGGTGTTGCGCTGGCGTACGCGCGCGTGCAACCACGCATGCATTGCATTACAATGTATGCACATGGGGTGAGAGCGCGTGCTAACTTACGCAGGGGTGTGCCGAAGTGGGTGCGGTGCCGCCTTGCGAACGCAGCAACTTGGGCCTTCGGTGGAGCTTCCTAATGGGCGAAGCGTGTGAGGGGTGTGCCGGAATTGACATGCGGAGGGCAGAGGCAGGGATGGGAGGAGGGGTGGAGGAGTGACGCGGGTCGCTGTCTCTTCAAAACGAAGACCCAACACCACAGGATGGTTGGGAATAAAAGAAAAGCAACCGACAAGGCTCCGTGGGACACCCAGGGGGAATCCTCGACGAATTGGGGGAGGGTCGCTTTAAGAAGAAAATCTGGGGGCTGGCGGGTGCGCATTGCCGGTAACTCCTTGCTGAGAACAGAAAAACTGCCGGAACCGACAATCTTTATTCGGGCGCGTGGAGCCTCCACCCTCCATACAATGCGCCGGCAGGAGTCCTGATCTGCGTAGTATATCAGCTCCTTTTCTTCCTTCACGCTGTAATAGACCAAACTCCCGTTGTGGGAGAGCCACATGTCCCGGGGAAACCAGTCCTCCGAACGTGACAGGGCGACGGCATGATCGAGACGCTTGCATACGTAGTGTGACCGCGGAATGTTTCGGAACAATCTGACAGCTGGCCAGGATACGGCGCACCAGCTCAATGGTCTATCTGGCCACAACGCGGACATGGTATGCCGACTGTCTGCTGCGAACAACCGTCACTACATGCGAGCGCTAGAGACATGTCTTCCATCGAGGCGGCACTCAATTGCCCCAACAGGACAGCAGATGTTCGTGGTCTTGGTAACAGCAGCGCTGTGGAACGAGGCGAGGCAAGAGGCAACTCGCTGCAAAAGACAAGCACGCACGGGTCAAATAACGGAACAACTCCGCAAGGCGTTCACGCCGCACTGCACCTCTGGACCGACAAACATGCCGCCTCGTTTGGACATAAGCCCAAGGCGACGCCAAGAAACTGCCAACACAAATAGAGATCCACGTGCGAATTATTCCGCTGGTCGACCGATACGACCTGCCCCGGTCTGGCCGCTCCCGGTGTCGCCGCTGGCGCCGAAGACCCCCGCCGCTCCCAGATTCGCAGACAATTGTTGCGGATGCCTGTGGACCTTGAACGGGATGATCATTGCAGCATCGTTGATACACCTTGGGTTTACCTTGATCCTCCTCCTCCTCCTCCTCCTCCTCCTCCTCCCCCTCGTCCCTCCTCCATTCCTATGATGAATAAACCCTCCCGTCCCACCCCGAGGCCAGTCGGAAAGGCGGGCCAGGCGTTTCGCCTGAGACTTCCTTACCTTTTACGATCCTGCACTTACGATGTGGCACGAGTTTCGCAGGATGGAAGGCGGGCCGTTTTCAAAATGTGCCCCTCGTCTTAGCGCCGCGCACGTTCGTCTTGAACATTTGCAAGAGCTTCACGGATTGAGGATTGAGGGTGGGCCGTTTTCAAAATGTGGCTCGCCTTCGCACCTGATTCGTCTGAACACATTGCAAGATCCTCACGGATTTGGGGCGTTCTTTTCAAAATGTGGTTCCCGTCTTAGCGCCGCGCACACTCGTCTTATGTATTTGCAGAAGTTCACGGATTCCCATAATCAACGTACCAGAAATTGTTTGCTGGAGCGACTCAGGATTGTCAGGGCGCAACAATTACGTTGATTCGCGGTGTTGAATTTCCAGGAACGGCATCTTGGCACCATTCAGGGTCGTCCAGACGCAGCCGTCATATTGATTCGTGGCGATGGAGTCGAACGGTGTTCTGGCATGCTTCAAAATCTCCGAACGGTTGTATCCCAACGCCCAAACCGGCACTTCCCTCAGTGGAAATGA